TCTCCTGTGAGGAAAAACAGTGCAGATGACTTCTATGTAATGGGTGAAAGTGATCGTGAATTTGGTAAATGATGAAATACGTGATGGGTTGTGAGCTGTGTTTTTTAAAGTGACAGAAAATCCTCCGCAGTCGATTTGGCGATCTGTAGACAAGGGTGAAATTGGTGACAAAAGGGAAAAAATATCTACATCCGCACCTGCCAAGATCTGTGTCCTGATGTTGCTGGCCACGGGGGGTGGTTCCAAGGCGAGGGCGTTCGGAGGGGTGGGTAGAGGCGTGGCGGAAGAAAGTGAGAAGGAAGAGCGAGCGAGGGGAAGTGGAAAGGTAGTCGCCGGAACCGCTTGCGGAGGCACGCTCATGCTTGGGGCAATTCCGGGGACGGAATAGGAAGGGGGAAAGAGAGGGGGAATGACGGGCATCAGGGCCTGTGTCATTAGCGGAGGCATGCTCGCGCTAGGGACAGTTCCGGGAGCGGAAGAAAAAGGAGGAAAAAAGAGAGGGGGAATGGCGGGCGTCGGGGCCTGCGCCATTAGCGGATCTCTCTCTCTCTCTCTCTCTCTCTCTCTCTGCGTGTGTGAGACAAAGCTACGGCGAGCACCGTTACACTAGAGTTTACGGTACGTCAAATACAGGGGCGCTGCACATCCATTCAGATGACCTGAAAAATATCACAGATCGGTTGACGGAGAGTGAAACTCTGAAAAGCTCAGTCAGAGAGTGTTCGGCAAGTGAAAATACTTAGCCTCCAACTCACACACTGGTGAGAATTTATCAGCCAGTGGCTAATATTAGACATCATTTAGTCGCCCAGAGTGAAGATTTAGTCGCATATGCAAGTGATTTACTCGCAATGTAGAGGGTTGTTAAAAAACGTACACTTATTTTATTTTAGCTATTTTCCAAGACATTTCTCATTTTCATTTAGTTTAACTTGATTTACTAAAATAAAACTGAAATAAAAATGAATAAAAACTACATAGACAACAACAAAAACTAATACAAATGTCAGAAATACACAACAAAAATACAACAAAACAAAACTTAAAACTTAAGTTAACATGAAAGCAGAAAATATAAAAATCAAATCAAATTCAACATTTTAACAAAAACCATAATAATATCTCAGTGATACTAAAACAACACTGCATCAAGTTGAGCTAAATTAAAATGAAAAATGTTGCCTTAGCAACTAGATGAAAAAAAGTATGTTGTTTAATTGATTTCAGACAACGTTTATTTAATTTCAACGTTTAGCTTTAACAGTTTTAAAGTGATAATAATATGATACATATAATCATATAATTATAATATACTTGTAATTTTGTTATTAAGTAAATGCTCAGATTTCCCTTGTTATGTGTGCCATTGTCTTTTTAAAATCATGCTTCTGTTAAAACATTCTCTTATTCATCATTTGTAACAGCAAGAACAGAAACTGCACGGGTTCTGATCATGATTGTGTAAGGAAACAGCATATAGCGAAAGGCCAATGATATTCAAACACTAATTCATGTCAAGCGCAAAGGGAGCAGACGCATATGCAGACAGTATTAATTCCACCCCACAACTGTCTATGAACTTTCTTTGACCCTCTCCATTTAAATGCACACAAACCCAGACAGACAACGAAACCATCTCCCTTCCCTTCTCTTCCCTCACTCTCTTCCGCCAGAAGCCAGCGCTTTGATTGCATATCATGAAAGCAAGAAAGATAATTGTCTAAGATGTATGTGAGATGTGTTAAGAGTAGGAACTGTCCAATAATCTTGCATAAAAAAACGAACCTTTTTGAGGCTTTTCTAAAGGGGTATAATGATTTATCTGTTTTCAGTAAAAAGCACTGAAGTTCTTTCAATGCAGCTGAATTTATTTCGAAATGTTAAATATTTTCCAGTTAATTTTTTGCTGTTGTTGTTGTTGTTGTTGAAAAGTCTTTTCAAGTAGAAACATTATTTCAAAATATATTTTGAGAGATATTAATCTAATTGACATTGTTCGCTTCTTTTTTCATTTGCATATGTAACCATAAGGTAATCCAAAAGTAACTAAAATAGTCCTATTTTGATACTTTCATTCAGGATATCTGTGATCTATAACAGTGTAATTTTAGAATAATTGAGATTCTTTTTTATTTTTATATTTTCGTTTTCCATTTATAGTTGAAATTAGTTGTCTGCTTGTTTGTTTTTAATTTTTCCAGTTTTAGTTAGTTATTTATTACATGAAAATGAGAAACTGGCAACAACTAGATTGGATTATGTTATTCATTACAAAAAAAATAACAGTTAAACCATATTTGGTCAAGTAAACCCATATTTAATCTAATTTTTTATTTTATTTTTTATTTTACCTTTGGTTTTGTTTATGTCTTTTGCAGCAATTCCGTAGAAGAACCATTTTTGGTTCCCCAAAGAACCTTTCAGTGAATAGAAAGAAGTATTTTTTGTTAGTTTGAAAAACATTCATCTGAAGAACATTTTTCTACTATAAAGATCCTTTCGTGCATTATAAAGGCTCTATGTAAACTTTTAAACCTTTTAAAGCATTTTAAGGATTAAGCATTTTTCATTCATTCTTTATTAAATAATTGATCGTTTTTAAAATCAATTAAAGACGTAATCAATTAAAGACGTAATCAAACAGACGATGACCACTATTAACAGCAATTACTAAATGATGCAATCAAACTTATAGCAAAATGTGGTAGTTCTGTATGTTGTTTCAGGGTTGGCATCATCTGAGGTCCTCTGAGGGGTTGGCATCATCTCTTCTCAGGTGTTCTGGATCCAGACTGAAGCTTGTGTAAATCCTAGTTACCACGGGATGTCAATACCTCCTTTAGTGTACTTTGCTATCCTAGTATTCAGAGTACAGATACTCCCAAAAAATACTTGTATTATTACTTCGTTACATTACACAACTGGACTCTTTCAGGACACTTTTTGCCATTGAGATGACTGCTCATAAAGGTATTAATGATTAGTAAACATTTATAAACATTTGCAAATGATGAATAGTTTCCACTTTAGTTTGGGTACTGCAAAAACATCAACAAATAATTAATATATTATTTGTTAAGATGTGTAAATAGGTGTCTACACCACAAACAAAGACCAACAAATGAAGATCATATGACCTGAATGTTTACTGACATTTATAAGCATTTCAATTTACATGAAATAATCATATGTTAATCATTAGGTAATTTTTAATAAGTTCATTAGTAAACATTAACAAGCACATTATCTCATATTTGTAGCTATGTGAATATATATTAACTAACGAGCTATTATAGCATTTTGGTACATCGGGGCTGAAAGCGCCCCGTGGTAAAAGGCGCCTTTGATATTATTTTCATCTAAACCACTAGATGGCACAAAAACGCGGCGTATCACTTTCCAAAATATTCGCTTTTCAAGATGCACGTGTATTTTTGTCTGATCCTTGACGCGATCGCGCGCAGCAGCGCAAAGTTGATTCTGTGCTTACTTGATCTAATATTTTATGGGTTTTTTTAATGTTGTAGATTTAAGTAGCAAATGAGAATCACTAAAATGAATGCATATATTTTGAGACAAAGGTCTTTATGATTTTCAGTTTTGTTTAAGATAATTAAAGCAACAGTTTTTAAGTAACGAAAGAATATGTAAAAGTATGGTATTTGGGGTAAAAAGCGCCCCTGTTGTTGGGGCTAAAGGCACAGTAATTAACATGATAAAACCTATATAGATTCAGATGGTAAATTTCTTATATTATGTTGGGTGTCCTTATTATATATTATCACCATGTTTAGAATGAAAACATCATATTTAAAAACATGATATTAATCATATCATATAATAAAATATTATTTGGTTACTACTGTAAATACACTGAACAAAATGATAAACGCAACACTTTTGTTTTTGCCCCCATTTTTCATGAGCTGAACTCAAAGGTCTAAGACTTTTTCTATGTACACAAAAGGCATATTTCTCTCAAATATTGTTCACAAATCTGTCTAAATCTGTGTTAGTGAGCACTTCTCCTTTGCCGAGATAATCCATCCACCTCACAGGTGTGGCATATCAAGATGCTGATTAGACAGCATGATTATTGCACAGGTGTGACTTAGGCTGGCCACAATAAAAGGCCACTCTAAAATGTGCAGTTTTATCACACAGCACAATGCCACAGATGTTGCAAGTTTTGAGGGAGCGTGCAATTGGCATGCTGACTGCAGGAATGTCCACCAGAGCTGTTGCCCGTGAATTTAATGTTAATTTCTCTACCATAAGCCATCTCCAAAGGCGTTTCAGAGAATTTGGCATTACATCCAACCAGCCTCACAACTTCAGACCACGTGTAACCACACCAGCCCAGGACCTCCACATCCAGCATCTTCACCTCCAAGACCGTCTGAGACCAGCCACCCGGACAGCTACTGCAAAAACAAAAGTGTTCCGTTTATAATTTTGTTCAGTGTATATATTCCATTATTATTGGATCTCCTTCAATACTTTCAGAATCTTTACTTATTAAAATGAGTTTTGCGTCTGTATTTTAAAATATATTTTTATATTTACATTTTAATGACAGTATATTTATTGAACAAAAATGTATTCTTTCATTTTTCAAAATAAGCAGAAAATAGTAAAAATTTTGCTAAAGTAATTGTTTTTAACAAGTATTAACTTAGATTATTTAAAAAAAACTATTTTAGCTGAAGTATTTGTACCAATACCGTGAGCCTTTTACCCCATGTGTGGGGTAAAAGGCCCATCTTGCCACCTCATAAATTTATAAGATTTTTAAACAAAATAAACAACTTGAATGATTTATTTTTACACAAAATATGTTGCTCCATTAATGTTCTATACAACGTATATATTTTTTCTGCAATTATATATTTTAGGCGCAGTGAATAGCAAATTTTTTCTTAAGGTGGGCCTTTAGCCCCGTTGTACCCTATGTGTGTTAATGATTTATAAATGAAAGTTATTATAAAGTGTTAGCAAAAAATCCTGTGGTAAGCTGCTTTGGTACTTTTTTCAGAAAATAATAACACATTAAAACTGAATGTACTGAATTTAAACATTTTAGTCTTTATTTCAATGCATTTTAAAGTTAAACAATGCAAACTCTTGAACATATAATAATAAGCACATGATCCAATAATCATATCTCTCCCATATACATTATTAATCATCATTCTAAAATTATAAGATGTAATACCACTTTTTGCGAGTTGTGTTACCCGGGGAATATGAAAACGAGGAAAGGTTTTTGTTTTTTGTTTTTTTCAGATTCATCTGAACAAAAATTAAGAAAAGTTCCTTAATTTGTCTTCCCTGTATGACCTGAACAACCATACAGCCGTATTGGATTGTGGGACAGGAATGGCATACGGCAGCAGAGAGCAATGCTCTCATTAGGGACAGAATGTAATAAAAAAGATGATGTCCGTGGGGGAAAAACAAGCCCTGCTGGTCGATATGTTCCAGCGAGTGAATGTCCCA